AGGGACTATTTGCTGTCCCTTACAGATTTATTTATTTATTTATTTATTTATTTATTTCTTCTTCCTTAACAATAGATTCTCTAACTTTCATCTGGGTACATAGTTGTCCAGTACAAAGATTACATTTCTCAGACTCCCTTGCAGCTAGGAATGTCCAAGTGGCTAAGTGCTAAATAATAATATGTAGGCCAAAATGTCATGAACAACTTTAGTAAGTGTTCTGAAAAGGAAAGAGCATTCAGATTTGAACTTCTTCTTTTTCCTACTGGCCAGAATGCAGATGTGATGGCTGGAGCTCAAGCAGCTATCTTGGATCATGAAATGAAAATTACATGCTAAGTTTGGTGGACCAACAGGATAGAAAGAGCCCTGGGTCACTGACATCATGGAGAGCCATATCAGTCCTAGAATGCCTAGTTCTGGATTATTCTTAGAGGAGAAAAATAAATTCCTATTATGTTTAAACTGCTACCACTTTTGCGGTCTCTACTACTATCACTTGTGGGTATACTAATTCTAACTGATCCACCCTTCTCTAAGTTTTTATTTGCTACTTCTCCTGTCTGACTATGAATGCTCCCCAAATTTATTTTCCTATCTTCCCCACACCCCAACCAAATTGTCAGTTTTCTTTCTTCCTTTAAAATGCAGCTCATACATGGGACCTGACATGGAAATGGTTAATATTGCTAAGCTTACTTAATTTAATTAACTATTCTTTGAACAATACATATCTATACATATATGTGTATATACAGTGATGGGTAAATAAAATTTTAAAATATTGTAACAGATTTTTAACAAATTTGCTACAACTTTTACACCCAAACATTCACTATTTACTTTTAGTACTCTTACTGCAGATTCATGTCAGTGATGCCATCATTCACCAAAACTCTTTTAGCACACATTTTTAAATATATTTTATTGATTATGCTATTACAGTTGTCCCACTTCCCCCTTCACTCCCCTCCACCCTGCACACCCTCTCCCACCCACATCCCCTCTTTAGTCATGTCCATGTGTCATACTTATAAGTTCTTTAGCTTCTACATTTCCCATACTATTCTTACCCTCCCCTTTCTATTTTCTACCTACCATCTATGCTACTTATTCTCTGTACCTTTTCCCCACTCTCCTCCTCCCACTCCCCTGTTGCTAACCCTCCATTGATCTCCATTTCTGTGGTTCTGTTCCTGTTCTAGTTGTTTGCTTAGTTTCTTTTGGTTTTGCTTTAGGTGTGGTTGTTAATAATTGTGAGTTTACCGTCCTTTTACTATACATGTTTTTTCTTTATCTTCTTTTCTTAGATAAGTCCCTTTAACATTTCATGTAATAAGGGCTTGTTGATGATGAACTCCTTTAACTTGACCTTATCTGAGAAGCAATTTTTCTGCCCTCCCATTCTAAATGAAAGCTTTGCTGGATAGAGTGATCTGAGATATAGGTCCTTGTCTTTCATGACTTGGAATACCTCTTTCCAGCCCCTTCTTGCCTGTAAGGTCTCTTTTGAGAAATCAGCTGACAGTCTGATGGGAACTCCTTTGTAGGTTACTGTCCCCTTACCTCTTGCTGCTTCTAGAATTCTCTCCTTCATTTTTACCTTGGCTAATGTAATTATGATGTGCTTTGGTGTGTTTCTTCTTGGGTCCAACTTCTTTGGGGCTCTCTGAGCTTCCTGGATTTCCTGGAAGTCTATTTCCTTTGCCAGAATGGGGAAGTTCTCCTTTATTATTTGTTCAAATATGTGTTCAATCTGTTGCTTTTCCTCTTCCCCTTCTGGTACCCCTATAATTCGGATGTTGGAACGTTTAAAGATGTCCTGGAGGTTCCTAAGCTTCTCCTCATTTTTTTTAAATTTTTATTTCTCCATTCTTTCCTGTTTGGTTGTTTCTTTCTTCCTTCTGGTCCACTCTATTGTTTTGAGTCCCAGTTTCCTTCCCATCACTATTGGTTCTCCGTGCATTTTCCTTCATCTCTTTTATGGTAACCTGCCTTTTCTCATCTAATTTGCACCCAAAATCAACCAATTCTGTGAGCTTCCTGATCACCAGTGTTTTGAATTGTGCATCTGATAGATTGGCTATCTCTTAGTCACTTAAAATGATGAGTCCTGGGGCATTGATCTGTTCTGTTTGAGACATGTCTCTCTCCCTCTCTCTTTTTTAAAATTATTTTTATTATTATTTTTTTTGGTCTGGTCGCTCCTGTTATGATGAGGGGCGGAGCCTTAGGTGTTCACCAGGGCTGGGCACCCTAGTCGCTAGATTGTGACATTGTATGTGGGGGCGGGGGCGAACAAAGACGGGAGCTCCGTTCTCCTGGGGCCCCAGTCCCTTCTCTGGGTTCTTGGGTTGCACGCTCTGATCTGGTCCACAATTGCCGCCTCACTGGGTCTGCCAGCTGCCGCTTGCGTACTCAGGGTCCACCCGCTGAGATCTTGTGCGCCCCAGATGCCTTACATGCTCCCAGTTGCCTTATGCGCCCACTCTCCCTGTTCTCCAAGCACCACGACCTGCGCCCAGCTGCTCCTCTCTGCCCCTCCTACTGGTCTGGATGAACGGGTCTACTTCAACTTCTTGGCTGTCCGACTTCCATTCAGATAAATTCTCTATCAGTTCTGGGTGTTATTCTGCCTCTAAATTGTTGTTGTCCTAGTCTTGGTTGTGCATGGAGGTATGGTGCGTCCACCTATGCCTCCATCTTGCTGGAAGTCCTCAGCACATATTTTTTAAAAAACATACTAAAAGCCCATCACTAGATATAACCTCCATGAGAGCAGAAGTATCCCCAATTTGTTTACTAGGCCTAGAAGAGTATCTAGCATATAGTAAGTAGGCACTCAATACATGTTTATGGCATGAAAAAAATAAATTGTAGAAAAACTTCATTTTAAGGTAGATTGATTTTTTTAAGAGTCAAAAGTCATTCAGAGCTCAGTTTAGTGAATAAGCTGTGTCACAAAGCTGGGAATACTGTTTTAAGTTTTTTTTTTAAAGCAGTGGCCCTGGCTGGTGTGGCTTAGTGGACTGAGCACCAGCCTGCAAACCAAAGAGTCACCTGTTGGATTCCCAGTCAGGGCACATACCTGGGTTGTGGGCCAGGTCTCCAGTAGGGGGCGTGCGAGAGGCAACCACACATTGATGTTTGTCTCCCTCTCTTTCTCCTTCCCTTTCCCTCTTTTAACAAATAAATAAAATCTTTTAAAAAAGTAAAAATTTTAAACAGCAGTGACTACAAACAATAAACTAGACTTCCTTGTATGAGTCATAAAAACGGCTCAGAGATGAGCTAGTTCCACAGCAGTCCAGGGCCTCACTTCCTAAACTTATAGTTAAGGATGACAACCTTGCTCCCATTCTGGAGTATTCGCACCTGCTGTTCCCTGGGCCTGGAATGCCCAGCCATTACGTGAATTACGCCCTCACTTCCTGCAGGTCTCCGTTTAAATATTCACCTCCTCCAAAAGGCCTTCCTTTATTACCTGACCTAAAATAAAGTCATTACTGTCCCTCTCTATCCCCGACACTACTTTCCTTTGGAAAAAAATAGGAATCGTTGCTCTACTGTCTGACCTAGTTTTATATCTATTTGGTTTGTGTGTCTTTAGTATCTGTCTCACGCACTGGAATATTTGCTCCATCATGAAAGGGGCTTCCTTCAGTGCTATAGCTCCAAATTTCTTCTAGATATCCAAATTTCAGAAAAGAAACTCAATGAATAGGTTTATAATAAAGGAGAAAAGAAGAGCAAGAAGAAGTGAAGAAAGGAAGAGCAAGAAAGGTAGCAGAGAAGTAGCAAAAGGGATGAAGAAATTCCAGAGGAGCCATAATTGGTTATTCTATCATTACTCCTTTTCAGCAGAGGTTTGACTCCAAGGCTTCCATGGGAAAATTTCATAATTTGGATATTTATTCCAAAGGAACAAGTACCCTAGAGAAAGAGGTTCCGAAGAACTTGGGTGGTATTTACTATTACAATTACAGTGGCCACATCTTTACTTTATTCCCCTCTCCCCAGTTCACACAAGCACAGATTGAGTGAACACTTGAGAACTCCTGACTGAGTCAGACAGGTACTTTCATGATTTTTAGTAGAATTAGTTTGTGTTGGTATAAACATTTTTAAATTTTCATACTTAACTGACATTTGGATACTTGTGTTTCTTTCAGGATCTTGATGAATAGATTTGCATAAAGCTAGAGGCAAGCCTCTGAAAACACTTGTAGCAAACTCTATGCTACTCTTACTATGCCCCTCACTTATGGCACAAGGTTCAGTTCCTTTCAAGGGACAGATATCTAAGTCACGTTTCATGAATGTTTCTGCACCCTCAAGCTGTCCACTCCTGATACATAGCTTATCAAAAAGGGTTTTTTACTGGAGAAGTTAGGGCAAAATGATAGTTCTTTATGTTTTAATACATTTTGTAGAAGAAATTCCATTTTCCTGCTAATTTCCTGCTAATTTCTACAATTAACATTGTAAATAAATCCCTGTTTTAAAAAAAAATCAGTAGCCCAGAATTAACATTTTAGGCAAAGGAAAGAGTTAGGTAACAAGGCATTGCCCTAGAAGAGTTTTAGAGCAATTTTAGAATTTTGAGTTACATTTAAGAAAATGTCAGTTTCTTGATTTGTAGGATCAAATGGCACAAATGCACACATACCCTGATCCTCGTCTCAGAAAACAGTTCTCCTTCACATTCCAGGTATGATTGAAATCTTAAAAATCAATCAGAATGCAAAGTAGGGAGTTCACCTGTTTAATACCTTCTAAGCTCAAAGTCATCTTATTTGAATCCCAGATAATTGCATTCAGAAAATAGCCATAAAATTTTCCACTGAATTCTTCATCTTTGTTCTCAACAGGATGGTGCCTAATACAGTAGCACCAGGACTAGTAGAAAATTAACATGTGAGGACTTAAAGTTATGTTTTACATTTTTTAGTTATCATCAGATATGTACTGCATTTTAGGCCAGTGTTCATTATACGCACTTTTTTTACGTAGCCTGGACACCTTAAGAAGCTTACACTTCTTCTCCGAAGCAGGCACTTCTGGTGAGGGGTCGGAAGCCCAGGCTGTTGGCGGGTGACCTGCACCAGGCAATCTTTCAGACAACGCCACAGGGTAGGAGCTGCGCCGCCTGGTCCGACAGGCTGTCTCCCTCTCTTTTTGCAGCAGCTGCTCGTCCATCAGCAACGAGACGACTTGCTTAGACTTCTCTCTGATGTAATAACCTGAAAAATACATTGAATTTCCTTAGGAAAAAAAATACTAATTAGGGCTACAATTAATTTTTATTTAAAAGAAAATTTAGAAAAAAATGAGTATGTTAGCAAAGTGAAAAAAACCTGTGACAAATAGAGGGAAACCTAAGTTTCATTAGACTTATCAATAAATATATTCCTTTTCTTATATTTCAGGAAGTAAACGAGTATATGATTAAATTATATCATGCACTGGCATTACACTTTTCACTTTAAATACACTTTTAAAAGCATTACTTACTCTGCAATAAATCAAACAAAATAGGCAAAGACAAGGAATGAGATAAATCTAGATATGCTGACCTAGGTGTATGACCATGACATATGGCTAAAGATTTAAAATCATATACATAGCATGATTCAAATCTGTAAAGCAAAGGGGAATATAAACCTGCATTTGTGCAGAAGAAGGAAGTAGAGGGATGGATGGATGGATGGATGGATGGATGCGCAGGCAGCCAACCAAGTGCATATGCGCGACATCGTTAATATCTGTGACCTTAGAGGGGTACAGCTGGGTAGGACACGTGAAGGGGGTCCACTGGCTTTTCATTGGCATAAGCTCCTGTCAACCTGATGCCGAAAGCAGAGGGCACAGCCTGAGCCTGCGCTCCAACCGTGATGCTGTCCGTAATCATCTGTGTGACTCGGAGCTAGGCGGCCTCTCCGGGCCCAGTTTCCCCTCGGAAAACCCTGTAAACCTGCCCCAAGGAGGGGTTAAGCAATAACAATAGCAAAAATAAGATGATGTCGACTTGACTTCTAACCAATGTGTTTTTTAAAACAGGAAAGATGCACAGTACTAAAATAAATAGTACTAGATATAGAATAGATTGGGCAGCAACTGCTTTGTCTCTGAAAGAGATAAAGGAAGGATGGGGGGAAGGGAGGGGAAAGGAGAGAAGGTGAGAGGGAGAGAGAGGTGTAGAGAGACAAAGAGAGGGAGAAAATACAGATGCTCTGAAATAAGGAATTAAATAAAACTATACAAGAGATCAATATCCAAAGATATTGTATAAAACACATCAAGATGAGCCCTGGCTGATGTGGCTCAGTAGACTGAATGCTGGCCGGTGAACCAAAGGGTCACCAGTTCGATTCCCAGTGAGGGCCCGTGCCTGGGTTGTGGGCCAGGTCCCCAGTGGGGCCATGTGAGAGGCAACCGCACACTGATGTTTCTCTCCCTCTCCCTTCCTTCCCCTTTCTCTAAAAATAAATACATAAAAATCTTTAAAAAAACACATCAAGATGAAAAGCCTGTTAATTGAAGTGAAGGTTGAAATAAACATAAAGCTATATACTGTTTTTAATTGGAATCTTTGGTTGTAAGTGACGAGACTCCGTTTGAACTGGCTAAGGCAAAGGCCGTGGGAACATGGGGGCTGCCGCTGGGCCTCAGGGTCAGCTGAAGCAGAGACTGGGACCGCCAGGAAGGACCCTCTTCTCCTCTCCCGTGTCTACTCTTCCCTGCGTGGTGCCTTTGCGCCTGCTGCAGCCTGGCCTCTTCAGTCTGGACGTGGATGTGGCCCTAGGCAGCTCCAGCTTCACGCCTCCGAGTTTGCCACCTGGGACATCTCCCTCGTCCCTCCCTCAAATCTAGAAACAGGAGAACAGCTCGAATTGGCCCAGCCTGTGATTGGCCCACATGCCCATCACTATGGGCCAGAGAGCGGGATGCTACTCTTGGCAACCCCCGTTAGCAGACACAGTAGAGTGAGGGGAGCATCAATACGAGAGAAAAGTGAACAAGCGGAAGGCCAACGGAGGAGTCCTCCTAAACTCAAGGCGGCGGATGCAGAGGACAGGGAAATCACACACCAACCATGCAACAGCCCAGTGCCCCAGATCACTCACATTTAATCGTTCCTTGAACACTTAGGTTTCAGAAAATGTTCTGAACAGTGGGGGCACAGGTGAGAAAGAGAGAAAGACAAGGCCCCTAAACACCATGATTCCAGATAGAAATAAATGCTCTAAAGGGAATAAAGAAGAGTGATGTGCTAAACATGAATTTGGGGCGTGGTCAAAAATGTCCTGCTGAGGAAGTACCATTATCAGCTGAGTCTTGGACGGCAAGAAACAGCCCGCTATGCAGATAACCCAGAAGAAAGTGCCTGCCAGAGGGAAGACCTCAGGCTTCCTTTACTCCTAAGCCTTCTACTGAGAGATCACAGCCCCCTCCCACTCACCCAATGCACACACCACGGCGGCCGACCCAGTCAGGCCCCTCTTCCACGCACTCTCAGAGCACCTACACTTACGTTTTTTTAAAAATCCTCACCCAAGGACATGCTTATTGATGTTAGAGAGTGGGGGGAGAGGGAGAGAGAGCGTGAGAAACATCAGTGTAAGAGGGAAACAGACCGGTTGCCTCTCACACACCTGAACTGGGGACCAAACCTGCAACCCAGGCGTGTGCTCTGACTGGGAATCGAACCCTCCGCCTTTTGGTTTATGGGATAACACTCCAACCGAATCACACTGGCCAGAGCTACACTTGTTTGTTATAGTACCTTCACATTTTGTAATTGCCTATTTATTTGATAAGTATCTTTTTCCTCCACTAGTGTATGACATCCATGAAGGCCAGAACTATACTTGTTTGCTTAAGAGGTTTTTTTACCTTTAAAAAATGTTTTTTAAAGATTTGTTTATTTTTTAGAGAGGGGAAGGGAGGGAGAAAGAGAGGGAGAGAAACATCAATGTGTGGTTGCTTCTCATGTGCCCCCAACTGGGGACCTGGCTCACAACGCAGGCATGTGCCCTAGACTGGGAATCGAACCTGTGACCCTTTGATTTGCAGGCCAGCACTCAACCACTGAGCCACATCAGCCAAGGTTGCTTAAGAGATTCTTAATGTTTGTTAAATAAATGAATGAATACACTGAGGAAAAACTTCCCAAATACAGGGAGGGGGTCTATATAAATTCATATCTAAACACCAAGTAAAGAGACTTGGAAACATGATAAATTCAAAGATCTTGGGCGCTGAGATGCACCAGCACGAGAGATATATACCAGGCTTGTAGAACATGCATTAGGCTTCACACAGTAGTTATGAAACATCTCAACAGTTCTGTTTCCATTCCCGACCCACTGACCCACCGAAATCTACTCTTCTGCCCATATTCCTTTCTCTGTGAATTTTACCTCCATTCTAGGCCAGAATTACAAACATTCACCTCTTCAATTCAGTAATCCGTGTCTATTGATTGTACATACGAAATATCTTCTAAATCCAGTCTCTCCTCTACATCTCCCTGGTCATTTGTTGCTGTGGAATTCCAGATTACTTACTTATGTTTAGCCTCCCTTCCAATCTACCCTCCACAATGTGTCAGGGGTGGGAGTGGAGGAAGGTGTGGGGAGGGAGAGAAGCATCTCGAACATATCTGATTAAGTTATTTTCCAGTTTAAAAAAACCCTCCAGTCAAGTTAGCACAGCGAGTCCATGCTTCAGAGTGCCCCTCTGCTCTGCTCCGAATACACAGCAATATCAGACATCACCAGTCTCAGAGACCAGACAAAAATCTCCATGAGCCAGAAATATGGGAAATGCACAGGCAGTGCGCAGGGCTGAAGCCACAAGGCTGCTAGGCTCTTGATCTAACACCAGGAGCTCAGCTCCTCAGGGGTTAGGGAATCAGCTCTCACTCTTTGATGTTAGGGCTTGTTCGTGTTTGTGAGAGAAGTCTAGGGAGAACATGAAAAAAAAAAAAGCCACTATTGCATCTTGGGCTATGAATGATTTGTAGCTGGGGGTCTGGAAGCAAGAGGACACACACGCAGGCTTGGAAGTAAACAAAGTCACCTGCTGGCTCAGTGACTAGATCCATGGCACACGCCCTCGTATTATCACAGGCATGCGCCCTGAGCTACCTTCATAATGGATGTATTGAAGACTCTAAGGGAGCCAGGTGTCAGGGACTGAAAACCAATATAAAAGGAAAAGTGAACATGGGTGGTTGGGGAATAACATCTCACTCAAAATAGATTTTTAAAAAATAGAATGCTACTAGCCAATAAAAGCAATCAAAACAAATTCACTCCAGATGAAATCAGTATGCTACAGGACTCTACAGGATCTTCTATAAATCCATTATCTATATTGTTACAGGATTTTAACAGAGATTTTTAAATCAATATGATAAAGAGAGAGTAACACAGGCATCATATCCACAACAAAATCATGAGATTATAAAACCAAAGTAGACAGGCCCTGGCCAGATGGCTCAGTTTGTTGGAACTTCGTCCTGTACACCAAAAGACTGTGGGTTCGATCCCCAGTCAGGGCACATACCTATGTTGCAGTTTCAGTCTCTGGTTGGGTGTGTATGGGAGGCAACCAACCTATGTGGGGTTTTTTTAATCTTTATTATATTTTTTTCATTACCATTTAGTCCCTTAATACCCCTCTTCCCCCAGCAATCACCACACCGTTGTCCAGGTCCATGAATCCTTTTTCCTTTTTGTTCATCCCTCCATCACCTCACCTCCTACCCCCAGATGTCACTCTGCTCTCCGTCTATGAGTCTGTCCCCATTTTCCTTGTTAGTTCAGTTTTTGCATTAGGTTCTACACATGAGTGAAATCATATAGTATTTGTCTTTCTCTACTGGTTTATTTCACTTAGCATAATGTTCTCCAGATCTATCTATACTGTTGCAGAGGGTAAAATTTTCTTCTTTTTTATGGCCAAGTAGTACTCCATTGTGTAAATGTCCCATAGTTGTTTTATCCACTCATCTACTGATGGACACTCAGACTGTGATCTATGTTTCTCTCCTATATTGATATTTCTCTCTCTCTTTCTCTCTCTAATGAATAACTATATCCTTGGGTGAGGGTTAAAAAAGTAGGAAGAAATTAAATAAGAACAGATAGATATGAAAAGGGACCATTGAAAACCCTAGAAATGAACACTATAGTCACTGGGATTAAAAAGGAATATCCAAGATAAACTTCAGAAT